ATTTTACCTTATGCTTTATTAAGCTAGTAAACTAAATTATTTAAGTTAAGTTTTTTTTATTTAATTATTTTTAATAGTAATAGGATTTTTAAGCATAAATAAAAAAAATACTTTTTTAATTATTTAGGTTTAGGTTTTAGAAACCTTAATTAAAATATTTATAAATTACTTTTACTTATTTTTTAAAAATTTAATTTAAAATATTATTATTAAAAAGGTTAAAAAGTAGTAGATGCAAGCAACTTTAATTATAAAATTAATAAGTTTTAAAATTTTTTATTAAGTATAAAAAAATAAAAAAATTTAATTAATAAAAATAAAGTATTTTAAACCTTATTAAATAATATTAAAAAAGTTACTTAGAAATTTGATAAAAAAACTAGCTTTAAAATTATTTTTTATAAACCTTTAAGCTATACTTAAGTTATTTTTAATTAAAAAATAAATATAAATTTAAAATACTTTATACACGGGCTTATTTTTAAAATTTACTTTAATTTTATTTAATTAATAATTGAAACCTTATATAATAATAACCTAATTAAGTTATATAATTTAATATAATAATAAGGTATACTAAGCCTTAATAACTTAAGGCTAAAGCTTAGGTTACCTAAGGCACTAACTTTAGAGTAATAATAAATTAACTCTAGTAATATTAAATAAAATAACATTGGCCCTAACAAGCTAAAAAAAAGGTAAAAAAAAAGATTATAATATATATATATATATATATTTAAAATTAATTAAAGCAATCCTAAGCAATTCTACCATTTTATATAATCCCTAATAAAGGTCACGTGACTAGGAGCCGGGACCTACAATTTATATACACTTTGGCTCCACGTCGCGCAATTATATTCTTGACAACACAATACTATTAGTTCTTGTTCCTTACATTATTACATCTTTATTATCTATATCTAACTGACAGCATTCATATATTGCCCATTATTATGTATAATAACTGCAGAGGGGCCTATGTCTGAACCAATCACCGACCAAACATTGATCGATATCTGACCACTCAACTCCCCACGCCTGCCAATAGTAGATCTACAAAGAGCAGCAACGCGCAATGCCTGGGAACGACTTCCGCATTCGAGAACGGCCAGCTTGGCCTGGAAAGTTGATACCAATCTCGCGATATGACAGTAGAAAGTATCTTCGTGTCGAGCTTGGCTTGACCCGACCGTAGACAGGCAAGTATGCTCTGGTGGTACTAGAGCAAGTTTTGGCTCAAACATCCGGACACTGCGCGACGTTGTTCCGTCGCGGTACTCCTTGACAGAAATATAAGGAGGATTGGAGATCAGGATGTCAAACTGAGGACCGCAAGAAGTAGAGATATTGGGTGTATACCCAAAAAGGCCCGTCAGCGAAGAAATACAGTCGGGATCAAACTCAAGCACATTACTGTGCTGAAAGCTGACCTCAGTCAAGGCACGCTCTGACAAAGTTCCCAGGCGAACGTTTCGCTTAGCATTTTCCTTGGCCAATTTGATAGCAATGTCACTGATATCCACACCGACAATAGTCAATTGTGAGAAATGGGGAGAAAGAATGGCGTGCAGTAGTAGTGATATACAGCCTGTCCCTGTACACAGGTCAAGGATCCGCAGGGGACGCTCTTCGAATCTCAGCGCATTGGGCATGCGGTCCAGTATCAGGTTTGCGGTGTGGTAGGTTATAGTCTCTGTTTCATGTCTAAGAGGCCAGGAGAATATGAGCGGGCTGGGGTCTGTGCATGTGGTAATGGTGGAAGAAAGGATACCTTGGAATTAACACCCCTTTCATACATTTGATATCCAGTTCACCAAAGGGTTGGTCCCCGAGTATGTATTGCAGAGGAACACCCCTAGACCGGGAGCGGCACATTGACTTCAGAATTCTTCTCCATCCAATAGAAGCGCTTTTTGTGCTACTTCTCTGTGCTCGCTCACGTAGCCAACGTAACTCGTTCTTCGCAGAATCAAGAGTACGGCACTCTCTTAGAAGAAGAGGCAGGAGCCGATCAATTTTGTATGCTTCAAGTATGGTTTGTGTTGCGAGTCGAGGCATTTGAATGGTTAGCACAAAGGGTAATAACCACCAAGATCTAACCAAACTTGACCCGTAGGTTTATCAGAAAACTGCTCTTAACTTGGCCCGTTTCCGGACTTGGAGTCCATGGGTCCATCCTATGGATGACCCACCACGGCACGGGTTGATTGACCAATACGGATCTACCAAACTAGAACAGAAATTAGAGCTCTTCCCTCTATATGCTGCTACTAGCAGCTAATGGCCAGTGGACATCTTGCCATAATCGCTCAATGTCTTAGACAAACCATATATCTAAACTAGATTCAGAAAGTAAGCATACAACCCATTGCTACAGCACCGAAAGCAAGTTGTTTTGAAACGCCTGTCGGTTGACCCAGCATCATCGCCGCGCCTGTACTCGTCGATGGTACAGTGTCTCCGGTATTCGTCGGCGCTCCGATTCTCGCCCCAGACCCATCAGCCATGACCGACGTGACAGGATGCGATACCCTTGTAGCGCCCGGAACAGCATTGCTACCGGATCCAATCTCCAGAACGTTGCTTTTGGATGAGTTGAAGTTTGTCTTGGCAAGGGATATTTCGTTGTTTGTCAGATCATAGACAACATATGCGCTGCGCAGAAACGTATCTCCAAGAACAGCGGTGCTGTCTCCTGCAGGAACAATTCCGAATATGCAGGCACGCTCGCCATTTGAAAAACGAAGATCACCGGCATCTATGATAAGCTCATCAATGCCAACCGTGATTTCGGGGGACGAAAAGGTGAAGGTTACATTGATGTTGTCCTGGGCCAAGTTGCAAGGCGCATACCCAGCACCCGTAGACGGCTCATATGTGACACCAAGATCATTGTAGATATCCTCTACAACCGAATCAGGTAGGTATGATAAAGAGCTGCCAGAGTCTAGGAGTACTGCTGCGGGTAGCGCATTTGAAGATAAGGAACGACTCCTCGACTCAACACCCAGCGATATGTCAGTGAGCGCTATAATGAGCTCAGAATACACACCGTTGACAGTCTGGACAGGAAGAGTCTCTAGATCGCCATGGTATTTCTCTGTATCAACTCCCCCAAAGAGGATTGAGCCCGTATTTGCTTCAAGGTCATTAAGCCAAAGGCTATAAGCGCTCGACTGAATTAACCCATTCTGCCTCAAAGATTGAGGAAGATTGGGATACGCTTCGGCCCCAGATCGAGCAACCTGAGCTTCATTAGACGGGTAACCAATTCCTAACACACCCTCTGAGCCACGAGTCATTAATATTGTAGCCAGTTGTCTAATAAAACACCCGCTAAGATTGACATACCTGCGGAGCTAGATGTGTATCCGATTCCGAATTGAAATTCCCTGATCGTTGCATCACCCACATGGATTGTATCGGTTGCATAGTCACCGGCGGCCCCTGTTCCATCTGCATATGTAATGTTGAAATCAGACGAAAGATAGGAGAATGACGACGACGAGTCGGAGTCAAATGACCCAGATATGCGACATGGGTCCTTGGAGGAGGAGCAGAGTGTTGAGTTTGCAGCATTACACCACAGATCGCTGCTCCCTGTGTCGAGAATTAATCGCAAGGTCTGCTCCGGTGTCCCAATAGTCAGGTTGCAGAAGTAGAGTGTCTCCTGTCGGATCTTAAGTCGATATTCATGTAACGGGCCAAGCAGCTTACCTCGTTGTCTATTAGTTGCGAAACTGTGAGGTCCCGCTTTCGCCTCGTTCTGTCCCTCGCTATTGGATCTGAGATCTCGTTGCGATGGAAATTCAGCGCAACAACCGATGGTAAATTACTTTGCCGCAGCATTAACGTGCTCCCTAAGCATCTGGCGACAAGGACGGCACTTATGACCGCAATAGCCTCCCACATCGTGCTCTGCCCAACCAACAGAGAGGGAGAACTCCGCTGCTACCCAAACAAGCCTGCGATGGACTATACCGGAACTGCGTACTGACTTGTCACCAGAAGCCTCGAATGGGGTAACTAGATGACCGTGTTGAAATAAGAAGTGATAAACTCTCGCCAAATACGATCGACTGGGACATGGTGAGCTTTATGTAATTGACGTGTTTCTATTGCTGCCTGGACCGGGTGGCTTGAACAGGGCTTATGATCCAATGGTTATATGTCGGCATCCTGTTGTTGTCGTCATCACTGTGCTAGTAGTACAATCTGCAGAGTGGAGAGCCACACAGGCCTTTCCTGCGAGTGGACTGCTGTTTTTGGAGCCGATGAATGCTCTTTAATTGCAATGCTGTAGTAAGCAGATAAGCCGAGTGCTGGTCTCTCATGCGGTATTGGTCAAATATGCTTTCTCGGGCCATACCACTCGGAAAGAAAAGAGAAAACAGGGGTTGGAAGAGCAGAGTATAACAAGTAAGTTTACTAGATGGGCCTGAGGTCACCCCACATTGCTGGGCACAATAATAATCTGACCGAAAGCGACGTAAGCTCTGCCAAGTCGGACCGGTCGGAAACCTTAATTGTCCGGCACTGCCGACTCCTTCGCGAGCGGCGATAGGCTTCTTCATGCTCCACCTCGGATCTCGTAGTCAGGCACCATGGCACGGTACCAAAGTATGCTAAGTCGGCCATGGTAAATAAGATGGTAGCATGGTAACTTTCTCGGAGTTTGCAGTGGTATAAATGACGCATGGGCAGTTCTATGACTCACCCACTGTTCCTTTAACTTCCGGATCCCCAAGCTCGAGCTAGCTGCTAGCTATTCCGTATTGACGGCATGGTAGTATTCGATTGCAAAATTAACGAGCAGCTCAAACGATCTGCAAAGCACTCCACGAAGGGCCTTTGACCCCGGATTCCAAGGTTTTAATGTGTGAAGCTCGACTGCTTGCAACTGACACATATACATGAATGTAGTCCTATATTAGAAACATGAGCATATCATACACAGACCACTGACGCCCACACATAGTATACACGCCAGCAGAGCCTCAGAGACCCATAGCTTTTCGAACCATTTCCATAGTAATGTCAGCATTAGCACGCGCTTCACGGGCCCCCTGCTCTGCGATGGCGTTTAGGCTATGACCGTCTGCTATTACTGCATTGTACTTCTCTTTGATTGGAGATAAAACCTCGCACAATTTATCGGAAAGATGCTCCTTGAGAGCCCGCGGACTGGCATCCAGATAACGCGAGGCGATTTCGTCGCACGACATGTCTTCGAGATGGCTAAGAATCTCTATGAGATTAGATATACCTGGTCGGCGTGCCGGGTCGTAATTTATGCCGGGCTCGGAGTCTGTGAGCGCAACCTTAACCTTTCGTCGAATATCCTCAGGGGAGTCCGTGAGAATGATCCTTGAACGTTCGTCGGCATGGGATTTGGACATCTTGAGAGTTGGTTCTTTCAATGACATTATTCTCTTCGCGGGTGCTAAGGAAAGTTAGTTGAAGAGATGTTGAGCATGGCGTGAGCGGTCTCACAAATCAGTGCTTCTGGAGGTGGAAATACTGGGCCATAGAGATAATTAAAGCTGTTCGCGGTGTACCTGGCGAATTCTAGGTGTTGCCTTTGGTCTTCGCCGACCGGAACATGGGTGGCTCTGGGTCATTTTAGCAAAATACATATTGACCAAATGGGGTTGCAGCCAGACCTATGAACCAGGATGTCTGCGGCTTGAAGCACCGGGTACGACAAGAGACCGAGGCGTAGGTTCATTCGAACCTCCGAGTTCTCCAAGCTTGCGTCCTCCGGCAGTTGAAGTTTGCTCTGACAAATGTCAATCAAGATGGCTGTGGCAAGAAAATCACAGAATATTAAAACCGGCGCCTCTGGCGAACACACACCTTCCATTGAGTCATGCGGGATAGATAACCTGTCGAAGCTACGGTACTCAAGATCCAAAATAACTCAGCATGATGATGGACCTGACGGATTTATTAGCTACCTATTCAATGTAAGAGCGGAAATGCCTGCAGCTCGGACTATTGTTGCATACAGCAGACTGGTAGAATATTGTTGATCGAGTTGGATCTAAGCCAACTGCCACCAATGTCGCGAGAGCCTCCTTCCTCCATTTTCTCAGCTGGTCGCTCTGCTGAGGCACTGTCAATGCATGTAAATCAACGATAGAAAATATCAGTCTGGTCTCCTTGGTGGCGGCATTCTGAAGTTTGACCCATTCACGAATAGCACCAAGATAATTACCCAAATGCGGTACACCGGTAGGTTGAATTCCAGAAAAGACTCTAGGCGCTTGCGGAGTCTGTGAACTGTTCCATCTTCGAGCAGGCCTTCGGAGTCCGGCACAGAATCCCTTCTCATGACCAGTTCTCTTAACCGTCCTGCATGCCGAATGGAAACGGCCAAACTGCCCGCCTGAGACAGCCATATCTTCTCTAGATGGCGCAGGTTTTTGCGAAGGGCCTGATGTGAGGATTGTAGACACCCTTCCTAAGTTGCTACCGGTCTACCTCGATACTACTCCGTACGGAGTACGCTGTAAGGTATTCGAATGCACGTGACCCGCTTGAGACCGGAGGTTCAGCTTTTCTAAAGAGAAGAATCGAACATCCTGTGGTGAGACTATCCTCTTGAAAGTCATTCATGATTAGCCTCTCCTTAGTATTTGCCAGTTTTGGAAAAAAAAATCCGGTTAAGAGTTGCTTTCAGGCTTTACAAACAACACCCATGTAATTTGACTTCTCTGACATGCAGTGTAAATACAGAAAGATATTGATGCAGTGAAAGACAAATTATAGTAGTATACAGTCAGTAAAGTTATTTCGCTGGTAGTGATAGTTCTTCATTCGCCACGAACATTAGTCAGGGGCCCCTTCCTCAAAGACAGTCGCTCGTTTCCCAGAAAGGTAGGTAACATGTCTGGCGTGGATGTTGCATCTTCACGACGACCAAATTGTGATAGATGAGACTCGAGATTCTTTTCGATTTCGGGAAGAGCCTGGTCCATATTTTTGGCGATTTCTGATTTCAATGCTATTAGTAAAAAAAGGAAAAGAAATAGAAATTGATGATTAAGGCCTCATCTTACCAATACTTTCATGCTCCCAGATGTTTGCTTTCATTCCAACACCATAAAACGCATGCTTCCGAACAAAAGCAAGCCATGCCTGCACAGCCTGGGGGCTGCCATCTTTGATCTGAATTAATCGACGGAGGGTTATACGCTCAAAGTTCTCCTGGCTTTTTTTGTGCACAAAATTGCCACGGGGAAACGTCCATCGTTCGACAATCTTAGGCAGCGGCACCGGCCCAGATACCGGGAGATTTAAGTAATAGGCAGCACGGATGGCGAAATCCGCAAAGAACTCGAGGTTCCGCACACTGTAGGATCTTAACTGAAGGTCGCAAACGGGTAGGCCATATTGAGCCTTTCTTCGGAGCGGTCGTAGGTACAGCGCCTGAACACTTCTGGGCAATCGAGCATTGGTGTTGATATCATCTAAACGTGACCCCCTACAGTCGCTGTTAGTAAAATGGTTGTTCGATACTTGCCACAGCAAGAACCGCAGAGTAAGAACTGACCATTCTTTGATAGGTGCCTCTGCTTCTGATGGGGGTTGTGTTGAGCTGTGCCCGTTAGCGATACAGTCGAGCGGTGATGGAGAGGGATACCGACGTCTCTCCTTTTATGCCCTTTGGCACTGATGAAGCCGACTCGGATTTTTGGGGGGATGCCACGGGCTCCTCGAGACCTTCTTGTTCGGGCACAGTTGTTTGAGAATCGTTGGCATTGCCTAGCCGACTAGAAGAACTGAGAAGGGCCCGCGATGCCGGGGCAAGCTGGTCGTGATTGTCAACGCCAATGCCTACCGAGTATAGAATTTCAGAGACTGTACCTGCAACGGCCTGATTCTCCCAAGCAAGGCCGTATAGGGTGAGAAGAGTGACATTTCTCTTTTCGTGGAGGAAACGGACAGCTACTGAGATTGAATTTCCGCTCAATTCGTCGACCTCAACCATATGCAGTTAGTCCCATCCTGGTTATTGAAAGTTCTTAATGACTAAGCAGCCCCTCGTGACTACACTTTCACTACCTATAGAAAATCTCATTTGAACTCCGCAATCAATTGCGTTTCCAATACTAACGAATGTGACACGCAAACCCGTCAGCTTCACATGCCCATTTCGGAGTTTATCTTTGCGTTGTTCTTTTCCTTTCCTCGGACCTCCTTAGGTGGGAGTTGCGTCCCGTCTATCTAGTTGACTACCCTGTATGTCGCAATTGACAAGCCACACAAAAACCTTGAATGACACCATGGATTCCACCGCCGGCTCTTCTGCCTTCGAAAAGACAAACGAAGCATCCCATTACATTAAGAAACTCTTGCCAGAATCCCTTCAAGCTCCTCGCATAGCTATCGTTTGCGGCTCTGGATTAGGTGGGCTTGCAAACACAATTGACGGCGCTCCAAGAGTAGAAATCGATTATTCTGATATTCCTCATTTCCCACGTTTGACCGGTCAGTCTGAACCTGCGCTAGAGGTCAATTGATAAGTGAATTTGCTTACGAAAACAAATGAAGTTTCGGGACATGCTGGTAAGCTTGTGTTTGGGGTCCTTGACAAGAAAGTTCCGGCGGTCTTGATGGTTGGCCGTGCCCAGTGAGGACACCCTGACGAGGATAAAGAAAGACGTCACCACTAAAATGTGTTTATTTTCAGCTACTATGAGGGCCATTCCATAGACCAAGTGACATTTCCTATCCGCGTTTTCAAGTTGCTGGGAATCGACACCGTTATCTGTGAGTTACTTCCTCGTGTGCAATGACAATACACGACTCTTTTGTAGAGTTAATGACAATGTACATAACAGTAACTAATGCTGCCGGCGGTCTTAACCCCGACTATGTTGTGGGCGACATCGTGCTACTGAATGATGTAAGTCTAAGTGTCTTCGATCAACAGAGATTGGTTTGCTCTAACAAGTCGTAAAGCATATTTTTCTCGCTGGTCTGGCAGGTACACATCCGCTGCGAGGTCCCAACTGCGAAGAACTTGGTCCACGGTTCCCACCTCTGTCGGACGCATACGATCTGGACTTGCGACGCCAGGTTCATGAAGCCTGGGGCAAAGTTATGGATCCCAGTAGTAAGCGAAGACTACACGAGGGCGTGTATGCCTATGTGGGCGGACCGAGGTAAGCTGGGACCATCAAAAGGCTGCAAGAGACTTTCCTTTAACTTCAGCCCGCAGTTATGAGACCAGAGCAGAGTGCCGGATGCTCCGCCAGCTCGGGGCGGATGTTGTGGGAATGTCCACAGTCCCGGAGATTGTGGTTGCAAGACACTGCGGCATTCGAATCATAGCATTCAGTCTTGTGACAAACAACGCTGTACTTTCACCTGTCCCTCGCGGGGATGACCATCTCATCCAGGGAAGGGATGTAAAAGAGTTGGACGCCATACTGCAAGAAGGGAAAGCCAACCATGAAGAAGTGCTCGAGGCTGGCCGATCTGCGGCCCAGGATATGCAGGTAGGCACGGTCCTGTGGCGGCTACGATTTCGTGACTCGCGACTAACATCCTTCCTACAGAAATTGGTCGTCCATGTCGTCTCAGACATCTTCTAGCGATACCAGTCGAGCAACTGGGTACCACAAGAATTAAAGGAACCAGGAAGGTACACTGGCTGGAATGATCGATCTGGCGGCTCATGGAGACGCTTGACCGTTCGCGGGGCCAGGGTTCCTTGGATTCTCGTCGTAGGCCGACTTCGATGGAGTTTAACAGCTTCGTTACCCGGTGAAACTCAGCGTTGGTTTTTTCCACCCGTTCTTTTGGCCACTAGACTCTTGTAGAAAGCCTTCTTTCCACTTCGCTTCTTGTCTTGTACAGCGTTATACCTAGCTTCGAAGCGCTTATTCTCTTTCTCCATATCGAGAGCTTCTTCAACAAATGTCTTCTTGCGGTCTCGTTTGGCAATGCGCCCGCTGAAGAACTCGACTGGGCCTTCAATTATAGTTCCCACTTGAGAATACTTGGGTGGTTGCGCCTTGCCGTTTTCTTTTTTGTAATGTCGTTTGGGGTCCAGTATAGAACGCATCCGTAGAATTTGCAAGTCTCTTTTCAGTTCAGGCGTAAGTTCGGTCTTCGGAAGGTCGAACCAGTCGCTGCCAGCTGTCGGCTTATCCTGGAGAGAATTACCGTTAGCAAACAGTTATTCTGCAAGGGGGCATAAATGAAAAGATAATGCAAGGATGATGCTCAGAGTAACTATGAAATAAAAGTGCTCTCATTATGACAGCGCAGCCCAATACGGGCTGTAGAGACTGTATCAAGCGCTTGCGCGTGGGTTGCTTTTTCCTCATAGCAATCAATGGAAGAGAAGAGGGTAGTGTGGACGTAGACGGAATAGGTGTATTACCTTCTTCGAACTCGACCTCGATGCTGCTCGTCCACACGCAAGAGGTTGCATGTTGTTATTGGTTAGAGGATCAATCATCCTGGTTGTATCGATAACGGCAATATCATTATGATGCCGAACATACGGTTTTAGCGTCAATTCGGTGGACAATTTAGGAATACTCATGACTGACGTTAGCACCCACGGACATGAACGATCGATGATTTCTGAATATACGTACTTGGGGATCGCTTCGTCCGGCTGACGGAGTGCGACCGAACAATTGGCGGATTCAGCCCTGTCTTTGCGTAGCCGCTGCTCTGCCTCCGCGAGGAGCTGCTGAATGCTGGCGTCCGTCAAATCGATATGGTCGGTCGAAGGCATATTTGGATCAGTTACAACTTTCATGGCCGCATATAGATGCGCGATCAGCACATCTGGGAGATGGCAAAGATGGAGGAAAATACGAGAGGATTGGCAGTGATTTATAGAGGAGCTAAAACCGCAGAGAATTTTCTGTTTGTGGGGCAAGGTCAGGCCGCAACGAATAGTTGCGGGCGACTCACAGGAGTCACAACTCCGTACTCCGTAAGTAGTAGCACGTTTGCACTTTCCAAGTCGGGCCAATTAAAGAAAATCCGTAGAGTAGGGTTAGTCTTCTTTGAGACTTCAACAGTGAAGAAATAAGTGCTCTAATCTCTAAAAACACATGTTATCACCGCTATGGTGTTGCAACTGCGCAGTGTTGCAATAACGCAATCCAGTGGCCTGAGGCCGCCTGACGGAGGAACTTCGGCGCCAATCTAACCGCGCGCCAAGGCGGCGGTTAGTTATGTAATGCATAGAACACCAAGTTTAACTTAAACTTTAACTTAAAGAATCAGCAATTAGTTCCTACTATAAATACACAACGCTTTCCTATTGCGGTAATTCATGTTCTCCTAAGCTCAGCGCAGTATACAAACGCGCCTCACAATACACCACAAGAATAATCATATCCCTATTGCTAATAAATGGTAGCTCTGCTTAATAAAAAGATAGATAATATTAAGAACTAGAAAACAGGGAAATAACTAATTACTAATTAATATAAACAAGTAAAATATTTATAGGTATAAAAGTAAAGTATAAGCATAGGCTTATAAAATACTTATTTATTACTAGGGTTATATAATAATATTATATAATATTATAAACGTTTTTTGATATATAATAATATATATAAAAAGTATATTGCTAGTATTTAAATTAGGCTAGTAGTTAAAATACCCTTAGTAAATAATAGCGCTGCATTAGGTATAGGTTAGGTAAGAATTTTTTTACCTAACCCATGCGTTAGGTTTTATTTTTTAAAACCTAAGTTATAGGTAATAAGTTTGGGTTAGGTATAGGTTAGGTACAGGTATTTTTTAAATAGAATTTAGGTAATTAGGGCCTATGGCTTGCCTAATTAGGCTTAGCTTAATATAAGGCTAATATACAAGCTTAATTTTTACCCCCCTAAGCCCCCTAGCCTTAATATTAATATTAATACTAATAATAATAATACTAATATTAATATTAATACTAGTACTAGTTTTAAAATATTTATACTAATATTAATATTAATACTAAGGATTATATAATCAAAATATAATTTATTATTAAATATAGTAATAGTTCTTTTATACTATTAGTATAAAAAACTAAAAAATAATAATAATAAAGTTATATAAGGGGTGGTAAGAGTTTACCTATAATAAAAAAAAAGATATATATATTTACTACCCTACTTTTAAAAATATAAATTTTTTTAAAAAAGTTCTAAAAATCAAGTTTTTTATTATAATCTTAGTTATATTTATAATTAAAGGGATATTCTTTATATATTTTAAATAAAAATCTAGTAATCTAAGCTAATAAATAATATAATAAAAAAATAAATATAAGGGCCATCCCAGGATCAAACTACTAACTTTTTAATATTAAATATAAAAAATGTACATGTGGTTTCATTGCCGGTGTTAATGCCTTAGGCCACCTTATTAACCGTGGTAATGCCAAGGCCTAGAAATATTAATAGCCTTTAAAAATAATACTTAGGCCTTACTACCCTAAGTAAAAGTTATATAAATTACTTAAAGGCCTTAATAAAAAACCTTTAAATAATTTTATATTTAGTTTTATATATATATATATATATTTAATTACCTAGCTATACTAGCTAGGTAATTCCTAGTATTAATATTATTATATTTAATAGTATATTTTTAATTATTTAATTAATAAGCTTTTTTTAATATTATAAAATTTAATTATATATAGTAATAAGGTAATTAGAATACTTAATTATTAAAATTACTTAATAATATATTTATAATAAAGCTTATTAATAATATAAACTACTTAAAATTACCTATATTTTTTAGTAAAAAAAATTAAAGCTTAATAAATTTTTAAGGGGCCTAAAAGCTATATTAAAAATATTAATAAAAATAATTAATAATTACTTAACTTAAAAACCCCTTTTATTAGCACTAGCAAGAAATATTTATTTAATTATTATTTTAAAAAACTTTATGCTTAGGTAGCAAGGCAGCTAAAAAATTATAATTAATAATAATAAGGGCTATTACCTTACTAGTATATTTAATTAAAAATTATATTTTTAACTATAAAAATAAAAAATTAAAAGGTTTTTTAACTAGTAACTTAACCCTAGTTATATAAAAAAAATCTTATAATAAATATTATTATTACTAGCTTTTTAAAGCAAGGGTAATAATTAAGGGTATTAAGTAAGGGTAATGTGGCCGCATACGGGCCACATCCTAGGTATACGGGTTCTGCCCTGTATTACCGCCCTGTTATATAACATAAAGATATTTTAGCTACTTTATAGCTTACTTAAAAATTAAGACTTTTTAAATTTATATTATGCTTATAACTATTATTATAAATAATAATATGTTTTTTTAAAGAACAGGGTCTTTATTTTTTTTTATTATTATTTAAAATTAGGTAACTACTTTAACTAGCTATTAAAAAATATTTTTAGTAATTAATACCTTTTATTATTATTAAGTAAATTAACTTTAATACTTATTTTTAAATTTTTTACTATTTACCCTTGCTAAATATTATAACCTTATAACTTTTAATTTATAAATATAAAATTATAAATATTATTTTTTGCTTTATAAATACTATTTTTTAAATTTTTTATTATTTTTTATAAATCTTTCCCTTTTACTATATTATAATCCCCTTTTTTTATATATTAAACTAGTAGCTTCTTTCGCGGAGTAATTATATTATATTATAATATATACTTATTAAGGGTAACACGTGATTATATAGCTTATATTATAGTATTATATTATATAATTTATTTTATAACTAAAAAGGTAATAAAGTAAAATAATTTAAAAAATAAAACTTAAGACCTTAAGACTACTTATAATACTAAAGCTTAAAAATAAAAATAAAAATATTATTATATATATAACCAAGCTAATTAAGTTTACTACTTAGCTAAAAAAATTTATTAAAATAGGTTATAAGCAAGCTAAAAATATAATAATACTAATATAAAAAAAATTAATTTTTTAGTAAGCTTTATGGCCTTATTAAAATAAGTTATAAAAAATAATATTTAAAAATAGCAAGCCCTGCCTTTACCTTTTTTATTAAACTAGGTAATTAAAAATACTAAAATATTTAATATAGTAGTAAAATCCTTTATAAAAAAAATCTAAATAAATTTTATATAATTTTTATTTTACCTGGTAAGTAGCTAACCTACTATTTACTTTATTAATAAAAAATACTAAAGCTATTTTAGCTACTTTAAAGGTAATAATAGCACTAGTAATTATTAAATAAAAAGCTATTAAATTAAAAAATATATTATTAATTTTTAAATTATTATATATATTTTTATTACCTTTACCTGCTTTACCTAGCTTATAATAATATTATACTTTATTAAAAGGTTCTATACTTTTATTAATATATAGTTATTTTTTATTTTTTTTTTGCTATTTTTAAGTGCAAGTTTATAAGTAAAATAAAAATTATAAAACTTAAATAAGGTACTATAAAAAAATAAAATAAATTAATAATAATTAAATAATATTACCCCAAAGAAATGGACCATAACTTTAATTAAATAATTAATTAACTAATATTATATAAACAGGAGTAACCAGGACCTTTAAAATTAAAAGCTATATAATAAACTAAAAGTTTACTTCCCGTGAAATTAAAAACTATATAATAAATTAAAAGTCCACTTTTTAAAATACTAAATAATATTTTTTATTATTTTTAACTAATTAGCTTACTTACAAGGTTTTAATTAAACTTTATACTACTAATATAATTTTACTACGCCCTATTTTAATCCAGGCCTTATTTATTATTTAGGCCTTATTTATTTACAAGGCCTTTTACAAGAATAAACTTATTATTAAAATCTTACCTAAAAAACTATGTTATAAAAAAAGGAAAGTAAGAATAAATAAAAACAAGAAACTAGTAAAACTAGGTAAATAGCCTAGAAATAATTAATAACTAATTACTAAAAATATAGTATTTATAAATATATAAACTTTTATTTTATAAAGGTTAATTAATAATATAATTAGTTATATATTAAAAGCGGCTCTGCCTTGCCCCGCTAAAAAATAAAAAATTAAATAATAATATAAATAAAAACTAAAAAATAAAAAGCTTATTATAAAAAGTAAGCTAGGCTAAATTATTTATAACAGGAAAAATAAAAGGCGCAAGAATAATATATTTAAAAAAAGCGCTAAAAAAACTAAAAGGTAACCTGGATAATAATAATAACTTATTACTAAATAATAATAATTAATATAATAATAGTAATAGTAACAGGCGTGATAAAAATCCTAATAAATATAAGGGTAAATAATATTACTTAAAAAATAAAAATAAGTAACCCTAGGATTTTAAATAAAAAGCTGCTAATATAATTTTTTTTAAATATGCTAGCTAAATATAGCTTTAAAAACATGGTAAATAAAAATAAATTTATATATTACTAATTAATATACCTATTTATAAAACATTTTTAAGTAATAATAAAAACAAGATTTGTATAATAGCTAGCATGTAATATTAAAACATGTTTTAAAAAAAAGGTATTAGCTTAATATAATAATAAACTAACTAATATAATATATTATAATTTAGTTTATTTAAAAAATATAGCAAACTAGTACATAGCCTTAAAAATTAAATTTTAAATACTATTTAGCTAAGCTCGCGAGAGGCTTAACATAATATACTATATTTTAAATAATATATATAACCATGTATTAATAACATAGTATATTAACATGGTATTATTACTTTAAAAATAATATAAAAAAATATTA